CATCTAACCTCAAGATGTTTATCAGCTATAAGGATCATTATTCTTTTAAAAATACCAATTAAATCCCAAAGAGGAGAGGTAGTACCAACCAAAATATTATAAAGTATTTTTGAATCCATCTCCACCTCCAGCTTACGAAAATTAAAGATGTTGGCCACCACTAGAGCCAAAAAGACTCCCCAACATTCAACAGCCAAACAAGTTTCGGCAATAATAGAGGTAATAACAGGGGAAGCGAAAAAGAGAAGGCATTTCCCCTCAAAATTTCTAAAAAGACCCCCAACCGCAGCATAATTAGCACGCCAACAGACACCAACATTTAATTTCACATAAGTAGCATGCGGGGGGGCCCACGCAATAAGCCGAGGGGCCTTAGTGATTTTAACCACGGAGGAGTTGGCTCTTAAAGCTTTATTGTAATAGGCAATGACATATGCAGCAACCATAGTAATAGAGGGGGGAGAGGTGTGGTATTTAAAACTATTTCTGGAGTTCCAAAGGAACCACAGAACCAATAATGGGAGGGGAAACCTCCCCATAAAGGCATCAAAATCCTTCTACTGCCATAAATAACTAGCTAAAGATCCTCTATGGGTCCAAGAGAAACCAAAATGAGCGCCTATTTTATCCCAGACCTCCAACGAGAAAGCACACTCAAAGAAAGTGTGTTATATCCTCCTCTTTCATTCTACACATAGGGCATCTAGAGGCTAATTTCAAGCCCTTAAGCTTAAGAATGTCATCCAATGGGATTAACGACATAAGATAACGCCATAGAAAAAAGGATATAGAGGGAGATAAATATTTATGCCAAATCCATTTCCCCCATATCCAGTCACGATGTGAGTGTAGAGTGTCATAAATGAGCTTGCAAATTGATATAGAGTTACTTCTTTTCCACATGGGGAGATCTCTATGAGGAGTGATGGAGATTGTGAGTATATGCTTTGCATTTTGTTCCTCAACCATAGAGCATAATTTAGAAAAGTCCCAACCCTCATTATCAAAAAAATCAGAGACCAATAGAGAGTTAGAAAGAGGGGAGTGAGATAAGCCAGAAATGTGAGAAGCACCCCAATTTTCATTCCAGAAGGAAATGTTTCCCTCTCCAATATCCCAAAAAGTGAAACCATTTGTCGTGTGTCTCTAGCATTCACCACAGTTTTCCAAATACGAGAATCTCCAACCTTCCAAGAGACCAAAGAAGGATGAATATTAACACAATATTTTAGCCTCATAAACATGGCCCAAAGAGAGGAACCCAATCGAGATTTGAACCAAAGCTTACAAAGATTCACTTCCACAGTATGCTTTAGTGCTTTAAAGTCGAGACCACCCCAAGATATTTTAGGGGAAGAGAGGCATTCTGAAAACTTGTAAACATAACACCCCATATGCTGCTTAACCTATTTGCCAAAAAACAAATGACATTTGTCACTATTGAAACGAAGACCAGAGCAGCTTTGGAAATCCTGTAAGAGCCCCATCACCTGTTTTATGGCAAGCTTAGAAGCATTAGTAAAAATAATAACATCATCAGCATAAGCAAGGTGAGAGGCCATCATTTTAGCTTTGTTGGAATACTGAACATGTGGATGTAAGAGTTGGAAACTGTTGAGCATCCTAGAGAAATAATCAAAAACTAAAATAAAAATAATAGGAGAAAGAGGATCTCCCTGTTTGATGCCCCGTGAAGCAGTGAAGAAACCATAAGAGTTTTCATTGACCAAGACAGAATAGTAATTGTTAATTGTTGGCCAGCCATCTTTTAATCAAGGAGCAAAAACTGGTATTAAAACCTCTAGCTTTAAGAACATTGACGATGAAATCCCAATTTAAGGTATCAAAGGCTTTTTTTGATATCAAGTTTGATCAACAGATTGTCACCCCTACAATTTTTATCAAGATCCTGTAATATTTTCTGTGCCAAGAGAATATTATCAAAAATATCACGACCTTTAATAAAAGTCAATTGTTGAGGAGAAATAAGTGAAGGAAGATGAGGTTGGAGGCGAGCCACAATCACTTTACTAATGATTTTAGATATGACCGAGGTTAATGATATGGGCCTAAAATCCTTCCAGTGTGATTTGGCGGTAGACTTAGGAATGAGGACAATCAAGGCA